CTCTTGGAAGCACACAGCAACTTTAATAGGACTCCCTGTGTGACAGCCATTTCATATATTGTGCAATCAAAGCTTTGCAGCTTGCTCTGAAACTGTTGATTTGTTTATTGGGGTTTAACCTCCTCTTCCAAAGCAATGTCTCTGCGAGGCAGACTTTTCTGTAGAGAACCTCAGTATATGGCAGTGTTCTATTTTCTACTTCATGTTGTTTGACAGGTAAGTGAGATAGTAATACACAGAGATGACGAGAAAAGGCATATGCAGGTTTATATTGAATCTTAGCTCATATCCTTGAGTGAGGTTAAGTTGAACACTTGTCATGCATTATATAAAACAAAGTAGTCCAGCTTAGGGAAGACAGCTTCCCCAGTCAGTGTTCTTGCAGTCCAGAGACTTCATGTCTCCCTGAGATATGCACTCTTTAAAACTGACAATAATGTAACATCCTTTCTTCCTCTCACTTCTACACTTTATGCAGGAGCTATGGCAAGTTCATTAACATGAACTTATATTCCATGCCGAAATTAATCTCTAGGGAGCTAGGATTTTTGAACATAAAGTTGGCACTGGAAAAAAATATGTTTTTAATGAAACAGAGTATTAGTTGAAATTTTCTTTATGCATCTGCACCAAGGGAAATGTGATACAAAGAATAAATGAAGAAATTGATGAAAATAACACTGTTTTGCATTTAATTGTATTAATAAGATTTACAAAAAAATATAAGGCAAACACCATTTTTCTCAATTACGTGAGTTTTCTCTTTAAATATCTGTATTTTTATTTTTATATGCTTATGCAAGATTGTATGCGTTAAGACATGTGTACATCTACACATGCACATATATGTGGAAGCCACAGGATCAACATTCTGTGTCATCATTCAGAAATAAATCACTGTATTTTGAGAGAATCTCTCACTGAGACCTGGAGATTCACTGGATTAAGCAAGGTTGGCTATACAGGGCACCCTAGGGATACTTCTGCCTCTGCCTTCCCAGTGCTGTGATTAAAGACATGTGCTACCCCTTTTCATTTGGATATGGAGTGTCACCCAGGTCCTAATGTTTGCCAGCAAGCAGTAGACCTAAGAAGTAGCTGTCTAATGCTTGATTAATTTCCAAAAATCTCAGTTATTTTCCTTAACTCATATTATAGTTAATTTAATTATTATTAATAATAATATGTAATATCTATAGTTATATGAATGCATATTATATCAATTCTAATTTAAATATATTATTTATATTATTTATAAAAGCAAATGTTACAATGGAGGAGGATCCTTAAGCCTGTATATGGTTAGTGGACACAGTTGGAGACTCTTCTCTTAATGAAACAAATTTGATGGGAAAATAACAATACCATCTATTTTGATGTGATAGTAGAAGTGGGTTTCCAAAAATAATTTATGATTATGGATAATTATCTAGACATTAAAGAACCCTTTATTCTTGTTTCCAATGAGGAAATTTTAAATATAGAAGGATAAAAAGTACCCCTTATTGACATTGCAAAAAACATTTAGTTACTAGGATGGATTGCTTCTATCAGATGTTGCAAAATATCAGTAGAACATATTCAGAAAGAAATGCAATGATTTTTGTTACTGAAGTCTGGAATTTTGAACTGACTTTTGATCAGTAATCATTTGTTAACCTAACAACGGCATGACTATGTTCAAAACAGAAAATTGAGTGAAAGAATGATTAGTAATTTATATAAATCATTGCTCTTCTGATCAGAATAAAGCAAAAATATGCAAATTCACATCCTCATTCAAATATGTATGTGTTTCATTACTGTATTTGGTGCTATATGCAACAATGAATTCTCAGCTTTTCCCCACAAGTTTCCCTCATTGTTAAAGTTCATACATGCACATATGTATACTATTCTGTATATTGATTTAAGAGTCAGATTGGTAATAAACTCATTTAGCTTTTAAAGAAAATGTATTTCCCTATGCCTTTGATGCTTATGTTTCTGTCGCTGTCTTACTAAATGATGTTGAGACAATTATGACATGGCTTTCACTATTTAAAAGCCATGATACCCTCTTAGCTCATTATTATCTAAATGTTAAGTCTTGAATTATAGAGGTAAATTGGGCTTAAAATGAAATGTTTCAAACAGAAGTGCAAGAAGTATAAGGTTAAGTGGAGTGAGGAAACAGAGCTTCAATTTGTGCTATAAAGCTTGGTGAGCATAAATGATCCTCTGATACACCAAGAAGGGGAGGCCCTCTGACTTGCCTTGCATAACATAAGTATACTGAAATAGAACAAAAATTATGTCAGACAGGTGGTAAGTGACAGAAGCAATGTGCTTGGACCACCATTTGTTATAAATACTACACCCTTAATTGGAAAGCATCTGTCTTTTCATTTCCTTTGTGGCAATTTCTACTTTCGATTTAACTGTGCAGAATGCTCCTCCTAACAGGTGGAACAGTGCTTATGAATTTAAAACCTTATTTAAATGAAGGTGAATACCAGAGATGTTTCAATTAATACGGCAATATCTTATGAGAAGGAATCTTACCGCCATTTGGCAAATATGTGGATTCCTATGCATTTGGGAGCTTTAGATACTAGAATACTGAAGATTCAAAGGAAAGACAAAGATGAATAGTGCATTAAGCAATTTCAGGTGATGTATTTGAATCTACAGAAACTATGAAGAAAAGGTTTACCTGAGAATATGAATAGTGTGAAGCATTTCACATACAAAATTTTAAACTGTTACATTTCATTAAAAGCAAAACTAATAATATCCTATGTGTGTAACAAACTATCCAATTGAAATAGCTTATTTTTATAAAATCGCATGGTTTATTTGCTGGAGATAAATGTAAAGAGGTCCCATGTATGCATGGTTTGGCTTTTTACCAGTTCAGTTAACTATAGTCACTTGGGAAATTAACCATAGTCGACTAAAGGGGAAGTTTCAAAAAACAAACAATAAATTTTAAGTTGCATACTGACCTTTATAGCATGATGAAATCCAACACTATAGTGTTCCATCCTTCTGGAAACATAAATATCTTTTCACTTAGTGGATCCATGTTTTCCATGAAACCATCCTCATAGTGATTTAGTCATCAGGTGTTAAGATTGCCCGCCCTGTTACTGAAGAACATGTGTTCATGCAATCCTTTCTTATTTCATAAAAATCCCCAATGGCAAGAGAAGCAACCACAGCATTTTTGAAATAGTAGATTGTTATAATTATTCTAGTTTACAATTCAGCATTGCTGATCTTTACCTGTGTTTGGTTAAGCACTTATCTTTATTTTAGGAGTATTCATTTTCTTCGCCTCACAGTCTTAGAGGTATCACAGTCTACAAAAACAGGGAAAGTACAGGACAGTTCACGGTGATGGGATAGATGCTAGAGATTCCTTACATGGCAGCAGGAGAGGAAGCAAAGAACACAGGGTAGAAGTAGCAGCCTGCGACTACTGTGCCAATCAAACCAGACCTTCTAAGTCCCTCCTTAATATGTCACAAGCTGGGGACAAACTACTAAAAACATGAGCCTGTGCAGGAAACTCTAAATTCTAATGGTAATAGTGGAAGGTGCTATTTTATACCAGTTTTCTTGACTTAGATATAGGTAAAGTGCCAGAGGCATAGACTTCAGCATGGTCTCTGGTAGCCACAGACATCAACGTGGCCCTCCAACATTGCATGGGCCATGGACACCATCAAGCCCTTGGTGGCAGCAGAGGCCAAGAACATCAACATGGCTTCAGGTGTCAGTGCAGGTCATCTATTAATGTGCATCAACTGAGTTTGGGAAACAGAACCAGGATATCTCCATGTGTATACATTTTTTAAAACATGGTGAATGTATCAGGAGAGATGCTTAGCAGATGAAAGCACCTGCCTCATAAGCCCAGTGAGCTTGCTCAGTCCCAGCTTCTACTTCAAAGGAATGAACCTACTGTTGAAATTTCTCCTCGAATTCCACATGCCTGCTCTGACAAGTACACCCTCCAAATACTTACAAACAACAACAACAAAAATCATATTTTTAAAATGTACTTAAAGTTGGTGGAGGAAATCCTTAACTTAAACCAAGTAAATCTTAATCACTACTCTACATTACCAAAGAGTTAGTCTCTCCACAGTAGTCTCCCGTGGAGGTTGTTGCCTCCATGAGTTTAAGGGGACAAAGGTCACTATTTTCAGGGAAACAAGAGTGTAACAGAGAGATATGGACACATATAACATTAAACACTGCAGAGTCTGCTAGAATTTAGAAACTGTATAGCTGGAGATGGGTCTGCATAAACATAACTTAAACACTCTTTTCTTGACATATCTACATGTAAGTACCATAGTATACTTCGTTCTGTTTTGTAGTCAACACGTTAATGTCCTGTAGCAGGGTGCTCCAGAACCTCTCACAGACACAAGAACAATGTGTGCTAGAAGGTTTAGATTTACCCAGCAGTGGTTTCTGATTCTCAGAAATAGTGAAACACTCAGATCCATACCATAGGGAAACAAGTTTAATAAAGATGAATCACGCTTTCATGTTATTCTTTGGGGGCAAGGTTTTCAGGCATGCAAACTGTTGACAAACTGGGAGAGCTAATCCACAAGGATCACGTTAACACCAAGTACATGAAACAGATTTTCCCTTGGGCAAGGAGAGGAGGGTCTTCTGCACAGGCCATGTGTTTCTGTGAACACCAAAGACTGCAATTGTTTTGATGTTAATTAAACAACTGATGTTTCTTGTTGTGAAGCTCTCTGTGAAAATGTGAGCGACTATGTAAATCTTTCTAAATTGAACTGAACACTCTTTAAAGCTTATGTTTTCAAATACTATTTCAAGCTTCTGAATAACAAGATTATGTCACAATATATACAAAGCTGCTCTGGTAGTGACCTATTTGGTGTGAAAGATGACTATGAAGTTATGTTAAAATCAAATCTGCACATCTGCTACATTGGATGTGAGTACATTCCATGTTTAGAGACAATTACCTCTAATGCTTTCAAGTCCTCATAAGCAAACTGTACAGTCGGAATTCCAAGATGGTTGATGAAGTAATCAGCGTCACCTTGTATCTGTATGGCACTGACATTGACTGCTGGGCACTGAGCTCTTCTGGAACAGTTGAACTTAATTTTCTGAAAAACACAATTTAAATACTGTTACCATTCACTCCTGCTTCACAGAAAATTTAGAAGTCAGTGTAACTCAAAATGGGGCCCAAAGATCAGAGAATCAATCCGTGTCACCGAGCTACAAGGCAAGTGATTAGGGTTCACTATGTTCCCTTTGATGGGACCATTTAGAGGTAGAGGCAGGAATCTGTTCTCCAGTTCTTGCACACAATCCTGAAACTCAAAGAAGTATGAGTTGGGTTAAAGCAGATGAAGGTGACTCCTGTCCCTAGGCACTGGGCATACACACACACACACACACACACACACACACACACACACACACAATGTTAAAGCACTGTTAAAATCATTGGTAGTGATTATAAAAAAGAATTTAACTTTGTATTGTCAACCCTCCTGACATTCATTTTTCATGTAAATAAGGAAAAATCTTGTGGATTGAGCCATTTGACCTCGTAATTTGCAGCCATTGAACTCTTTCTCTCTTGCTTCCTGAAATGCTTGAAGCAAAATGTCTGAGTCAAACAGCCAGCTGGATTAGCCTTGTTCCAGCACCAGTCTTGTTAAAAGCTCCAAGGACGCCTCCAGACAACTATGTAAAAGATGGAAGTTGATCGTCCTGGCTCTCCAAAGCACAGCCTCAGATAGAGCTGTTAGAGACATTCTATAGTAGGCATTTAATCACAAACTTCAAAGAATCATTTCTACCTTGACAAGAAGCAGAACAGTTTCCTGGTGCAAGGATGACAGACAGTGACTGGTTCAAAATACTTGCCTTAGTGACTATGATTGTTGTAATTGGCCCAATACTTAGGATTGGTTCAAACTAAATGACAGTGATTGGCCCAAACACTCCCATTTACCATCATCTTAGTAGGATGCTGAGGCTCCCTGAGTGAGTGATCTAGTGATCTGGGAGATACTCTGCTGAGCTGTGTCTCTACTGAGTTGCTTAGGCCCATTAGTTTCTCGACAGTAGTCTTTCCTTGACTACTTTAAGTAATATGAGCTGAGATGAGCTTCTGAAGAAAAACATATCAGAAATTGTACAGGGCAATAGCGAGGTGGTGGTAAAGTTTATCACTGTGTCTGCTTGCAAGCTGAAATGACATTTGCCTCAGCTAGCTTAGACAGGCACACTGATGGGTGACATGATTCCATGGGTTCAAATACTGCTTGGCACCTTTTGGACCCAGTGACACTGTGGAGCTAGGCTCCAGAATAGCCCAGCTCATACACTGTACCATATTTCCAAGCATCAGGCTCTCACTTCAAACTCAGAGTATCAGCAAAGTATTGTTTGACTGCTGCAGGTCCAGGTGGAAATCCCATCTGACCACCAGGATTCTGTCCACAGCAAATGCCTATGTGTGAGGGGTACTGATTATACCTTTATCCAGTACTTCAGGGCCTACCAGGTACACTGAGGATGTCACCCTTGACCTTAACAGTGCCCTGGAAATCCCTTGGTATGCCTGGCCTGTAAGTTTACTTCTTCAGCTCTTTGCAGACTTTTATCAGTTCCATGTCTTCCCTTTATTTCAGATTCCCTTTTTCTCTTCCTTCCCAAACCTGCTTCTCTGAATGTGTTCAGGTACCATTTTTCAGAATATTTGTTTCACTATGCAAAGATTTGTTGCATTTGTTTTATTATTTAAGGATGTGTTGCTGTATTACCTTGCCTGCCAAAGGCACCTGATTAGTCGAATGAAAGACTGAAGGATGAAAACTGAGGGAGGAGGTATAGGTGGAACTTTCAGGTAGGGAGAATAAGTAGAAGGAGGAGTTTAGACTTGAGAAGAAAGAAGGAGACAACAGAGGGATGCCAGGGTCCAGCCAGACAGACATGAAGAAAGAAGAAAATTAGGACATACAGAATGAAACCAAGGTAAAATCCCCCATAGGCAACATATACACTAATTGTAAATCAAGGCTATCCTGAGCTATATAGTGTTTGAGGGAGGCCTAGGCTACATAGACATAATGGTATATATATGATCAAGATACCAAAAATCCATGAAGTAATATCAGAATATAAGGTAAAAACTAATGGCATACAGAACTCACTAAATGGAATAATTACTTGAAATTCCCCAAATCTAGATAAAGGAATGGATACCTTAACACAAGTCATTTAAAATATCATCTAGACATGACTACTTTTCCATGACATATTACAGAAAAATGACAAAAATACATGGCAAGTAACACTATTAAAAACTGTTTAAAAAAAACTACCAACTTGCCTATGACATAGATCTTTTACAAAGTAATGTTAAAAGCCAAGAAAGTATGAATGATATATTTCATTATTGTAAGTAAATAAATATCAGCCCAGATTTCTAAATCCAGATGGCCCGTCTTTTAAACTTGATAAAAAAATAATACTCAAAAACAAAAACTAAGCAAGTCATGACAACCAAGCTAGCAATACAGATGAATATGTGATAGTGCCAATCATGAGAGCACAAGAAAGAAAACATTTCATGAGAGGAACATGTAAACCAAGATGATTTGGAAGGAACTCATCAGGTCTAACACAGTAAACCAACCAATCCCAATATTAACAGCAGGGAAGTGCTGGCTTTGGCAGCACATATTAACAGCAGTGAAAGAAAAGCATTAACCAAACCAATTAGAAAAACAACTATCTACATTTTAGGGATTACTAAAAACAGAAATATATAGAAATATATGTCTATTGTTGAGAGAGAGAGAGAGAGAGAGAGAGAGAGAGAGAGAGAGAGAGAGAGTTTCAGGAGTGAAGACCTCCATTGACTGATAGCTAAATTATAGAAAATAATATATTAAGTAAATAGAAGTTAAAATGAGCTGGCAAAGCTATTCTTGTACAATATAGCTAAAATTAGTCATAAATAAAACCATTACTGCTAGAGTGAAAAACTTACCAAAAGCTCTAACAAGGCGAGTGAGATGGCTCAGCATGTAAAGGAACTTACTGTCAAGCCTTGTAACATGAATTTGATCTATATAATACACATGGAGGGAAAAGAAAACTGAGTTCTGTAAGTTATACTATGAATTTCATGGATGAAGTATGGCATGCAAACAACCACACACATAAACACACATGCACACACAGATAAATAAGTATAAATACCTTTTGAGAAGACCTAATAATTTTATATATGTATGAGTGGTTTCCAATATTATTAAAAAATGGATAATATAAAAAGTCAGAGAGTTTATGAAATTCAGGGATGACAGAGAGGGGTCTTTGAACATATTCCAGTGAAATCCAGGGGATCATATAGGATACTTTGAAAACTTATCTTCATTGACACTGGATCATTTAGAAGAAATGGATGTATTCAAAGACACACTCACACATACACGAAGTCAAAGACTAGACAACTTTTAAAAAAGGCCTAATACCAATATCCCTCCAACTACTGTACAGAATAGAAATGGCAACCACATTGCTAATCTTTGAAGCTTTCTTTGCCCTGAACAACACACACAAAAGCAAATGACAAAAAGTATCACAAAAAAATTACATAGAGTGACCAAATTGTTTTCAAATGAGTTGCAAGGCTAAGTTAACATGCATAACTCAACAAATGTAAAACAACACATAAACGGATTTAAGGACAGAAATCACATGAATATTTTAGTAGACACAGAAAAGTCCTTAGACACAATTGAGTATCTCGACCTTAGATGTAAATTTGTTATCATTGTACTCATCACTATAAGTAGGACACGACCTCTGCAACCTAGGGTGCTTCATTGATATGATGTGACTTTAAAAATACTTTTAAACATAATCAATCAAAAGATTTATTAAATATAGTATAAATAAAATAATAAATTTACACTAAATAAAAATTGAATGAATGTGATCAATTAAAAGACACTGAATGTATTAGCACACAACTATAATCCCAAATCTCATGGGTAATTCTCCTGGGTAGCAGTCAACTATTCCATGTTTTCAACTGTAGTCATAGATATTTCAAACACTTAATGTTTCACTGCTAATCAGATTTTCTCAGGATTTAACAGAAAAGAGTCTTTTCAACAAAAGTAAAATCTATTCAAATGAAAATCCACCATGAGTGTTTACAAGCACAGCACAGTTTTGCCTTAAGTCTGTACAAATCTCATGGCTGAAGAAGCTCCTTTGAGCTACAAAGACAAAGGCGTGGTACTACACAGTGTCTTCCGCAGCAACCTCTTTCTCTTTACAGATAAAATTTGCAGAAGTGGGAGGTAGGACTCTTACTCCTGTTCTCATCCCCGCTACTCTTAACCCCTAAAAGGTTTTATATCAACCTGGGACACTTGAAGCATGACAGTAAATATTTTCAAAGACATGCTCCAAAGTAACAAAAGTGACAGATCATGTAACTCAAATTAACTATTATGTTAAAACTCCTGTGTAGGGAGTGATTTTATATATCTGTAAGAGCTGACCACTCCTACGGGAAAATAGAACTAGGGGGAGGAGACTCTTCCTCTTTGGGTCTCAGCTTTCTTGGCTTTTCACGTAAGTGATTTCTCTTTCAATAAATATCATAGGACACCCCTAAGTTTGTGTAGTTTAATATTTCTGCTTCATCTCGTGTCAGCATGGTTCATTCAGCCCCCAAAACTCGGGTTCGGCGAGGCAAGCCCCCAGGGCACCTTAGTGTCCTGAACAGCAGCAGCTCTGAGGTTTCATTTTTTTCTGCACATTGCACTTCGGAGTGATTTCAGCTCCTCCCCTCCCTGCTGCACTAGGAAGCCTCACTGCTCATTCCCTGCCACCTGCAGGTCACAAATCACCAGTAAGACAGGCTGTGTTTGTGTTGCTCAGTTAGCGCTGTGCCCTCCCTTTCCCCAACCTGCAACCAAGCACTGCGAGTCCGTGCCCCACGCACCCCCATCCCCTGCCCTCACCAGGCAATGCCACTTACATTCCCTGTTCCACCTGAAAATTTTTACAGCTATTATCTAGCCAAGAGTCTCCCAATCTGCATAGGTGTTTCCCTCCCCAATGT